TGCTTCACAGCGATGCTTCGTCATGGCCCAGATGGCCCACATCTGTCACAACCAAGACTTTTTGTGTGTCTGTGGGCTTCCTCTCGCTGCCCTCCCACACCAGCAGCTCGGCTTTTGCACTTTGAAAACGTCTGAATGCGCGACGCTGTGTTTGTGTGCCCGTGCTTGTTTCCTTCTGCCTCAGCCTCCCACTTTTCCACCTGGTCATACAACATCAGGAAAGCGTTGCTTCCTTGGCTGCCCCTTCAAAGCCAGGCGGATTTCCTGCAGCCTCTGGAGGAGCCGGGTCACACTGAGATCACAGGCTACTGTACAGCAGACACCCAGCAGAATGATAGCTGAGCGTGGCACCGTTCATCCGTTAAAGAGCTGCAGAGCAACAGCTGTATTTGTTTAAAAAGGTGAAAATGCAAACGTGCTGCGTGTCGGTCTGAAGACACGGCGAACAGCGTCTGAGAAAGATTATCATTGTTTGCAGAAGGCCTGTCATCTCCCAGTGGCTGGGTGGGCTCATACATTACAGCTTCATTAGCATCTACAAATCACGACTTTAAAGTGCGCTGATCTGCCCTCAGAGTGCTCCACCCGTTTAGGATTCAGGTCACAAACTGCAGGCCCATCATCTCCTCCTGTGCCCCACTTAGCAGAGGTTGGTAGTAAAAGAACTGACTAGACTATTTTCTACCGCTTACCTCATGCCACTGTGGCTTTGTGTTCACCGCTGCCACGTGCAAGACCAAATTACAGCCTGCAGGCAGATGTGAAGGGGAGGTGCCAAGCAGCACTTAAGGTCCAAGGCCTTATCCCAGCCTAACCCTCACACACACACACACACTCTGATCAGGGAGGCCTTTGGGGTTCTGGTACCTCACTCTCTGCCTCCTCGGTCTTTGATGGTGAACTCGGTGCCTCGTCGTCATTTCCACTTCCACGGTTATGAAGTGGTGCAGCCCGTCGCTGCTCACTTTACTCTCATGGTCCTATTAATAGCGTCTCTCCACATTAGTTCTAAATCTGGCTGGTGTGTGTTTTTTCTTGCTTTTGATGTATCCACAGTTAGAATAAAACACAGATTAGTTTCCTGTGACAAGTACGTGGTCTTCTGGTTTCTTTTATTTTGAGATTTACGCGTGTGTGTCATCTGCCTCTGGGTGTGGCTTGTGTCTGCCGACCTCTATTCATATTGTGATTATGTGATGGCTATTCATATTCATATGGCCTGCTTAGCATGTGTGTGTGTGTGTCACTGGGACCAGTTCCTGGCAGAGGACCTCCCACTCCTGTTTGACGCCCCTCGCCACCTCCCCTCCCCTCTTCCCGGCCGGCCCACATGCCTCCTCTGGGGGAGGTAATTGTGTGATGGTTTGCTCATTGTCAGGATCAGGTCAGGCAACAGGAGTGTTTTCACAAAAGCAGACATCTGCTGTGCTCTGCTGCCCTTTTCAGCAGTGACGTAATGTCCCGTGGCGAGTCTCATCCATACACAGAGCCGGTGGGCCGGTGTGCAGGAGAGGGCCGGGGCTGGGCCCTGATCAGAGGTTGTGGGGGTGGGGATTGGACGAGAGCTTTATGTCTGGTTGGACAGGAAAAGAAAAACACATTTGTTGCAACTGGGGGCACCAAAAACAATGAGCATTATTGCTAGCTAGCAGCATGCCAGCTACACCGGTTCCCTGTTAGCATCTAGCTGTAACGTTTCATTTTATACTTCTGACCAGAACACATCGTATGTTTCCTCGACAATCCAACAAACACATGGAATGAATTTCTGCCCTCGTAAACATTTGCAAAGAGATGGTTGACATCATTGTTAACATTGGTTTGCAGGCGTCGTCTTGCCTTCGCCGGAGCATTGTTTAGTGTTTTTGGCTGTTGAACTCAGAGGACATACAGATGGGGTGCAAATGGAAGAAAAAGACCAACGTACAGGGTCTTTGTAAGGTGATGGGCCACCATCTACCAACAGAACCGCTTCAGTGCACCTTGGCTTTGATTTTTCAAGTCTTTGGAGAAAAAAATCCCCCATTTGGTGTTTTGGTAGCGGAGAGCACCGTCCGACACGTCGGCCTTAATTAGGCTGAGGTCTAGTTCAGAGCATATGATGTAGTTTTTCCACACATCGAACCATTTCGTGGCCCCTTCCACCCATTGGACACTGCCTCATGGATGAAGGAGCTACCATCCAGGAGGGGATCACTCAGAGCAGCATGACAGGGCCACTGGATCCCCTTACGTCTGGGGTCAACGGGTCGGCTCCTTCCTTCAGCTTCTCACCCACCATCTGTAGTTAAGTTCACACGCAGTACAGATTTTCTTTCCTCCTCTGAAGACCTGCTGTGAAGGTTTTCTATTTTACTGTCTCAGAGCCTTCTGTTGTTTTATGTGTCATCCCAAAGCAGCCCGGGATAGAGAGAGACAGAGACTGAAGGCTGGATTGTTTGAGTCTCGTTTGTGTGATAAATCATTGGTGTTGTGTTCTCATGTCTTGCTGCAGAACCCAGAACAACGAGAACAACTTGAACATGGACACGTTTGCACCTCCAGTGCTCAGAAACCCTCACAGGGCTCCTTTAAACAGTTTCACATGTATAATAAGTCACTGTACCAGCTTGGGGGGAAAAAAAGAAGAACTGCTGTATTAGTGTACCCTTTTACCCCGGGGGGTTGTTGGTGGAGGGCCCACTCTGGGGGCTGATGAGGGAGACGGCTGGTGGCGGGGCTGAATGGGCTCTGATTCAACTCGATGTGCGATGGTGGAGGAAGCTAAGCTCCATTAGCCTGCCTGAGCTTTAGCCCTGTATTGTGGTCTGGAATGCATTCATCTGGCTGCCCATCTCTGGCCAGCGCGCTGCCTTCTTACTAGCAATCAGCAACTTTGCAAATCAAGGGTCATTTTCAGTTCAGTGTGTGATTATATGCTTCAGGTTGTGGTCCCCCCGCAGCACTGACTCCTCTAATACATCCAGTGCTGTACCCTAAATTACGTTTAGACATGAGCCTCTTTTTCCATGTCTTGGTGGATTTTGTGAAGTTGGAGTAGATAATGAAGAACTTAGAGGAGGATGGTGCACAAGCCGTCACCGTACATGCTCTAATACAGTCTGAACGCTTCCTTTGAACCCCATCTAACCGCATTTAGTGCCTGCTGGTTGGTGCCACGCTGCATTCTGATGTGCAGCGAGCTCGAATCTGACAAGAGCTTTGCCCCTACAAGTAAATGCAGCCTCAGCAGCCATGAGAGTCGGATATCCCGGCGCCTGCTGGTGGGGCCGTATGAAAATCCCTGTTAGCATCTGTGGATGTCAGACATTCCTTCCTACACTCGTGTCTACTACACTCAGTGCATATAAATACTTGGTTAATGATATTACTGAGACCTGGGAGATTTTGAGAGCTCCCACCCTCCAGGCAAGGAATCAGACCAAATTAGACACTGGGGAGAGACTGTTGTGAAGCATTCCTCCAAAATTACCTCAAGCTATATTTACCCTGCATTTGATGTGAAATGTAAGACCTGAATGTGTTGATCTGAGTTTGATATCTAAAAAGCTGACAGATTAAGTTCTTGACAGTTTTCCAGTTAGCGGCCGTGAGTTTTGTTAACACCTAATCTGCCCCGTAGAGCTGCGAGGCGTTCATTGTCTTTGCGAGGTGGATACGACCTTTCTGACACGAGCTCGATGCTAAATCGTCTGACTGCTTGTTTCCCATGGTTCTCGTGTAGTTCACCGGAATAAACAAGGAGATTGTTCTTAGTCCTGGTGGGGCTCATCATGGAGGTCTTAGGTGATAGAATATTCCACATCTCGTCTCAAACAAACTCGACCCAAAGGCGGATTCTACGTGCAGCATCTCCCCCCACAGCTGTTACAGCTTTGGACAAAATTCCTGAGCGATAAAAGCCAAAGTACAGGGGGACGGGAGACCTTGCGAGCTAATTTGCAGCCTTGTGTTCTGCTGGAGGAGAAAGTTGGAACGCGGCTCTCTCTCGCTGCAATGTACACGACTGTTTGCTTGCCAAATGGAAGCTGTACTGTAAAAACGCGATTGTTGCAGCCCTACCCTGTGGAGTTCCTCCTCTTGTGGGCGTATCGCGTCGAAATTACAGACCGACGTGACACACGAGATAAAAAATTGTCATTGTGATATGACCCTCCTGTCGTCCACGCCCTGCTCTCAATCCATCACAACGGGTCGTCTGCAGACAGAGAACAAATAATATATTGTTGTGGAATTCAGTGGGGCTGAAGCAGCAGTAATGAGTCCTACTTTCCTATTGTGTCGCTGTCTTGGAATGTGTGACAATAGGCTTCGTGTTATAATGAGCCCTCGTCTTTTATCCCCCCGTATGCACCTGGGGTTATTGTACATCGCCCTGACTCGCTGCTGTAACCAAACACCTACCAGGGTGTGATTAAGAGACATTCATTTTAATTAATCTAACGATGCTTTTTTTGTAGTTTTTTGTTTAACGACAAAAAACTGAATCCTTAAAAGTGACTGTAAACAGTATGAATGATGTAAAATTAATTGTTGATATGAGGAAAATGTCTTATGAGCTGTTCTTATTGTTGTTATGTTTTATTTTCCTGCTACTCGTACCGTATACGGCCTGACCCACATAGTGCAGCGTTTACAGCCGATGCTAGTTTGGATTCACATCAGTAGATGTTTGAACAGCAGCAGTAGGTTAGTAGTTTCACAAAAGGAGCAGGAAATGGTGAGTTATCAAAGCCAAAAGCCTAAATCTGAACCAGCCAGCGTTGCTAAATAAAGCTACAAGTCCTGTGGATGTCCTACAGATGCAACCCAATTTCCAGTGAAGTCACATGTTATTGATTAGGTTGGACGCCGTGCAGCCTGGCACAGAGCTCTGAACTTGTTTTACCCCACTAAAAATATCCTGGAAAAATAAAATAAATGTGTGATGTTTGCTGTGTGGCATGCCGTTGTGATGTGAAGGCTTAATGGCTTTGCGCCTTTCTTTTCTTTCTTTCCAGCTACGCTCTGGCAGATGAGGCCTACCGCTCGCTGAGGGACCAGGACAAGGACCAGTGCATCCTCATCACGGGGGAGAGCGGAGCCGGGAAAACTGGCAAGTGCTGCTTTAGTTAATTTCTTTCAACATCTGGGGAAATCAGAGCCACGATGTCTGGCCATGTGCACGCCGGTCCAGCGTGAACCTGCTGTTCATACACATCGCTGGAATCTGTTTGGAACAAATCACTAACACGTCTTTTTTTTGAGCATTCACATGAAAGGTTCTTCGTTTATCAAAAGCTAATGGAAAGAAGAACACTTTTAATCATCTTTTTAAGTGACCCAGTAGTTTTCCAGCCCATCCCTGGAGGATACGGTCCTCCATTCCTGTTTGTAGTGCTTCGTTCAAAGCGTAGTCAAAACTTCTTTCTGACAGAGCGCTGTAAGATAAGGGCTGTTAAGTATAAAGCCACGCTGCAGATTTACATCAGATCGCTCATAAAGGGGAGCCTGATGCTAGTGCTGTTGTGGGAACATCATGTTGGTACATGAAACGCGCTCTGTGATGACCTGTAAACAGAATGCATGTAAAGCGATAGGGGTAGTCACATCAAACAGCATGCAGATGGCTTCCTCACGCTTCCTACTTCAAGTACATCAGCTCCACATTTTTCTCTTGCCAGTAAGAAAACTTTAAACCTGGCGTCAGACTAGAAACACTTCCAGAAAGCTGTTTTCATATCTCTGTTGGTTTTTGTAATAGCGCGGCCGTGTTCTGGACCGGTTTCACATACCGTACAGAAACCCATGAGGAATGGCATTTCCTGTAGCGCGCCGTCACAGGTAATGGCAATACTGAGCTGGCAGCGCTCGGACTGTGGGGATGCAGCCACGATCTGCTCATAAAAGTTCTTCCTGTACAGTATAGACGCAGACATTCATTCCTGCTTAGGAAAAAGACTCCCCTCAGGTCTCAGACTGATTGTTCCTCCTCTGGCTCTCCAGCTCTGATAACCGTTTATTGAATGTTCAGGAGTCCTCTCCAGAAGCGGCGCTGCAGCAGCAGAGTCGGAGGGGATTTAACTCAACTTCAGGCTCAGCAAATTCTAATCTTGCATAATGTTTGACTCGAGTGTGGGAGCGAGTCGTAATCAGCGTCCATTTGGTTGCAATTAAAGCGCACCATGTGGCTTTAATCAAAGGTTAGGCTGCATGGGAAGAAATCAGAGACCAGCAACGATGATGATGATGATGATGATATCACAGCATGTTATTTATTAAAGAGTATGACACAGCAACAAGTTTGCTTATCCTGACTGTTTTAGTCTCTTCTTCAGCTTTTATTCTGCTGAAGCTGTTTTTCATATTTAGAGTGTTTTGTTAGAAAATGATTTTCTGAATAATGCTGATATAATATTGAATTATCATCATATGGAAGCCAAGAAGTGCCAAACAGCCATGTCCTTATAATATTTTGAGCAGCCATGCCTTTGTCTCGCCAGCAGCAGCACGATGCGTTTGTGTCCTCTGTGCTGATGACTTCATGTTTTCAAGTGGTTTTGAACTTTTGTTGTGTTGCTCTCTGGCTCGAGCTCCGATTTCACAACCCAGCATTCCCCGCAGGACTCTGGCAGCAAATGACAGGAACTCCAAGCCACACATTAATTATGAGAAACCCACGATTAGCACCGCACGAGGTCATCCGTCATTTATGAGCTTAATAATTTCGGTGGTGAAACGTCGCGTTAGAACAACGGATTGCGTCAACGCCAACGAGGGCACAGCACGGTTTGACGGATCGCGTTTTGCGTGATGCACCAGCCTTTATTTGGACTCTCCCTCAGCCTCGCATGGATATTAAAAACCCCCCGACTCCAAGAAGCCGTCGCCGCAGCCAAGTCGAGAGATAAATTCGGATTTCAGTAATCTCATCAGCCCTGAAGCTTTGTAGTGGAATAAGGCCGTCAAAACCTCCTCCATCGATATGGGTCATTGGCATTCATGTCTGGATGGGGGATTTCTGCTGCCTCGTCTTATTGTGTCTTCTACAGGAGCGAGGAGCTGTGATGAACTATTTTTTTTATCAGATGCCGTCGCAGTGCAGACGAGTCATAACAGAGTTTTATTGTTTGCCAGAGATGACTGAGGAAGTTTTTGTTACCCTGACTGATAAAGATGTCAGGTTCTCCCCGTTAGTCAGCGAGACTCCTCACGTCTGGGTTTTTCTGTGGAGTCGTCTTTTTTTTAACCAAATACACGAGCTGATCGTGTGCCAGACTCATCAGCAGCCTGTAGCAGCGACACTGTCAAGCTCCTCTCTATCCTGCTCTTGGCACATCACACACATCATCGGTTCTGGGTCACTGTCATCTCGCTGGTCAGGAGCGCTGATCCTGATTCCTGCAGTCATCCTACAAGACACGGCGCCGGTTCCAGACAGGACGAGCTGCTTTCTGAGCCCGTGTCACGTTTCTCAGGCAGAAAATTTGGGAGGCTTTTCTGACAACACGGACTCTGAGACGAGAGTTCATGTCCGTAGGTCCATGTGAAGTCTCTCCACTGAATTCGCTTGTATTCCAAAAAACATCAGCGATCTGAATGATGATATGATGATGCAACCCTGGTCATCATCAGCAGTAATGGGCCCGCTTCTCCTGGTCTGTACCCCCAGACTAATGAAGGATCCACACCCTCTGCTGATGGCTGTCAGGGGGGATGATGTAAGGGGAATGGTGAAGTGGGTGGGCACTGGTTCCTCTGTAATGTCTAGCAAAGCCTTGACTATAATATTTATCTATGTGTGTGTGTGTTTCAGAGGCCAGTAAGCTGGTGATGTCATACGTGGCGGCGGTGTGTGGGAAGGGCCAGGAGGTGAACAAGGTCAAGGAACAGCTGCTGCAGTCCAATCCCGTGCTGGAGGGTGAGTCGAAGACACTCGGGCGGCGTCCAAGTTCAGGAGCTGGAGCGTCTGAGGTTCACATCTGGACGCTGGATGTGTGTTAACAGGTTGACACGGCTGCCCCAGTTCAAGGGCTCTTCAAAGCACAGCTGAGAAACAAGCAGCCAGAAATATGCAAAACTGTGTATACTTGCAGCGTAATTGAGCTGTAACTCAGTTAGTCACTGACAAGAGTCTTTTTTTATGACAATCTTTGATATTTTGGTTTCCCAAAGACATTCGTCACTGCAGAGCTCCTGACAGTCAAACAATCCACAAATCATAACTTCTGGATGTAACAATGATCATATACACATGGAATCTTTTGCTGTCCCAGTCGTCTGAGAAGATGTGAATAACTTCTTATTCCTTTAACAAACCAGTGCACCACACACACACACACACACACACATGCACACACACACACACACACACTCATTCCCACCGCTCAGCGCTGGCACACAAACAGCTGTATTTTAATTGGGGGGCAGTGAACAGGAAATGCCCATGAATGATGAAGCTGTATGCCCGGGTTGCACATCTGTAAGAGTTTAGCTGCTGCCGATCTAATTGCCCCTAACACTGGAGAGGGAAGGGGGGTAATCCTGCTGAACACAACGTGCCACGCTCGCCCTCCGTCACACTGCGTCTCACTTTCGTTCACAATCTTTATTGCTTTCGCTCTTTGTCGTCTCCTGTTCCTCATTTCTCGCTCTGATCTTGCTCTTCTGCCTCCGTCGCCCTCCGGCTGCCGTTGTACCAGCGGCCCACACATCCACATCATCCGCAGACTTAAACACACATTAATCAGTTGTTATCAGCAATTAAGCAGTCATGCTAATAGCACTGCGATGCATGACACATTAATAGCGTTCTAATGTAGAAATGTGCTTTGAAGGAGAATGAAAAGGGTTCGTGTTGCAGAAAGGCTGCTCGTAGTACAGCTGGGCTCCATGCTCACATGTGTCTGTGATGCCTTTTAATGTGCTCACACGCAGGCGTTCGTACTTCAAAACGCTTCGACGCCATGTTTGTTATTGTTTATTTATAAGCAGGGGCAAATATTGAAGCAGAGCAACTTCAGCGTGGCGTGACATCAAGGTTCAGCCTTCCTAAGCCTGGAAAGCCCTGGTGCTTTGCTTAATCCATCCAGAATTATGGGGCTTCATCAGTACAAATGGCTTTGACATTCAGGCCTTTATGATTGACAGCTCTCTGCAGCCTGAGGATCATTAATCAGGTTCTGAATGTCTGTAAATAGGCTTTTGGCCTGTCTGTAGCTGTTAACTTCATAGCGGTGGGATTAGCATAAATGATGCATCAGATGCTTCTTTATGTTTTTATTTATTCATGTCTATATTGTGATTTGTATTTTTTGTCCTTTTCAGCTTTTGGAAACGCCAAAACAGTACGAAACGACAACTCCTCCAGATTTGTAAGTACCCAGAGCTGCAGCTACTGTTCCCGGATCAGATCATGTGTTGGACATAATGTCACCAATTTCCTTATTTAAAATAAGCTTGTGTGTCTTGATTTCTTATTTATTTTCGCTTTTGCTTTCCCTTTGAGGATTCCACACGCGTCAGTCCTGCTCTCAATAACATGAACTTTGTAGCGCTGCATGCTAGCGTTTTGGTTTTTTTCCCATCACTTGAGCAGGATCAGTTCTTCTGACAGTGTGGGTGTCTCGCCTCTTTGTTCACAAGTGCTGCTGGCAAACAGCAAGGTCTTAACGGTTAAAGCAAAGGCCTGCAGGTGCTCACAGACACGTAAACTGGTTTGAAGCTCAAAACATTTCAAGGCCAACGCGTCGTGGAGATAAATGCACTCGCATGTTGGTGCATGTTTTGCAGGAGTATCGTGATGTTGAGCGCAAAAGGGGGAAAAAAACACCAAATGATATCTTTGTGTGAGAGGCTTTTATCACAGGAGTGCTACCTGCCTACCTTCCCCGTGCAGTTTTATTGGCTCTGCACTGAACACCGGCCCACACACTGCCTCAGTTTCACACGTTAAATGGCCTCGATGAATCCTCCGTACATCCTGGATACGACTAATGCAGAACAAGCACAACAGATCTGTGGTGAAGTGTGTCCCATGCAGACTTTCGTTAGGTTTTTGTCTTTATTTTTATTTTTTTATCTCATCTCTCACTATCTTCTAATCTGTGGGGGGTTGAAAATGAGGAAGCAGGAGAAATCAAATGCGTATCTGAAGCATCATAGGGATGATTCAGTGTCTGCTTTTTGTTTGTAAAAACAGACACAAACCCAGAAAACAAGATATGCCTCGCCGGCGGCAGTATGAAAGCAGATGGGTGTGTTTCTGTTTTCCTCGGAGGCCCTTCTCTCTCCCAGGGAGGCCTGATCCAGCAGCAGCAGCCCCTGATCACAGCAGATCACATCATCACGTCATCGTGTAGCTGCAAATTTAGGAAAAAGCCGGTTTATGTGATCTGACTTCGGTAACTTCCAGTGCATCCAAAAAGCTTATTTAAATACACCCTCCGATGCCACAGGAGCTTTTTTTTCCCCCCTCATAGTTATTATTATAATGGAAACTGGTTATTCCGGCTAGTACCAGCTTGTCCCAGTTTTAGTTTCACTTTTTCTACTATTTTTTAATCATCTTCCTACACGGATACAACCGCACGCCGGTGCTCGGACATGCGGTCGTTACAGGGAGCATTATAACGGATTAAGCCCCTGATCTGTTTATATTTAGGTAACCTTGGCATCAACCTCTAGACACAAACCTCAGGCCTCCTCACTAGACACCAGTTCATCAGGCCTCCATCAGTTTAGCAGAAAAACTCTGAATCAGACATGTCGCCTCATTTTGCTGAGTGCAGCGGGCTTATTGAGTTTGGCTGGAGCCCACTCACCAGCAGAGCTTGGCCTGTTCTGGGGACATGTCTGCTATTAATACATCAGAGGAGGGGGAAAATAAAACACACAGGACTTTCTGTTCTGACTTCCAAGTTTCGGAGAGAAGGAGCGAAGGGGGGCGAAAATGGTTTGATTCAGTCCTCCAGGAGACAGAAGCTGGCCCAGGTTGGGGGAGAGGGGCTGCACCCAGACGGACCGGTGGTTTCTCAGCACTTTATGATCGCTGACTGTAATTTGTAATGTGAATGGGTTTGTGCAGAGATCCTTGCTGGGTTCGGAGCTCTGGCTCACAGTTTCAAAGCAAAGACAAGAAACGGTGTGAATATATGTTTCATGAAAGGTTATATGTGACTGCTGCACTCTGACCTGCAGGGAAAGTACATGGACATCGAGTTCGACTTCAAAGGAGATCCCCTGGGCGGCGTCATCAGCAACTGTGAGTAGTGTTAGAATAAAAATAAAAGGGAAAGCTTTTAAAGGCTGTAAATGTTTAGATGAAACTGTCCTATTTTGTGTTTCATGCCTGATTTTGACCATATTTAGAGCGACACTTTTAACTCAATTAAACTTAAACGTGCAAACTTTCAGAATAAAGCCGCTGAGTACATCGTATTCACACATAACTTAATTCCACATATTTACTTGGTTCAGTAATATCTGCTGTTAGGATGGAGACCAGACAGCGCACTAACTGTCCAACAAGTCAAGCATTACATGACCATCATAGTGTTTCCAGTATGGATCTAATCTGCTTCTCATCAGACTGTGTTTGAATCAGTGGTCATGTGACTTTCATTTATATCCCAAATGTGCCTCAAAAGCTTTTACCAGTGCTCCAGCATGTGGCGCTCTGTCTTTCTGGGTGAGAATTGCTGATTTTGGTTTTATGAAAGCCTTAAAATTGATTAAAATCAGTCGTCATTCCAAGCCTGACCAACAGGCACCGGTCCAGCCACCGACTTTGTGTCCTCAGCGCTTTGCTGTGTTTTGGTTTGACGTGTTCACATTGTTGTGTCTGCGCCGGCTTCCCCGCCAGAGGTCACGGCAACAAAGACGGAAGCTGATGGCCGAGACACAAATGAACCTCTGTGTGCCGGCCCGAGTCGGTCCGGCACAAGGGAGCGTCTGTGAAGAAGAGCCGCGGACATGTGACTCCTGCAGACGGGCCGACTGGCTGCCGGCGAGGCAGATGGATGTGGATGTTGAAGCGGGGCAGGCCTGGATGGATTTCTCTTTGCTTCTCTGCTCATTATTTCCTAGACGTGCATCCTTGAAGCCTCCAGTGCCTCCTCCAGCTGAGAATAGATGGCTGTAATTTTTGAAAAGGCAATTCTCAGTAGCTTTGGTAATGACAGAGTGGTGAGATGCTTTGGCAGGCCTTTAGTCAACACATAACGGGATATTGTCCCCACATTGATACTTTAATGTGTGTTTGCTTATCTTAGGCAGAGGGAACATGTTGTGAACAGAGCATGCAGTAAACGCTGCTCAGGATGCTTTACAGCAGCCGAGGCCCTTAAAAGCAAATGCAGGATGACTGAGAGCTTTGGCTGGTGGAAGGTCACTTTGGTCCCCTCAGGATGACAATAATAAGATGCTCTTTATTTTCCTCCCTCCTGTGTTTGTGCCAGAACGGTGTCAAAAAAAAAAAGAAGCTGTCTACATTAAAGTAAGAAAGCGGGCCGAGATAGAGGAAGTGGTATTTCATCATATTCTCTGTGTGTCTTTTATCACAGCTCTGTATTGCCGCTGCCAGCCACTCTGTCATGAATGCTGTATTATTGATGCGCTGCCTCCTATAGAGCCACTTATGTGATTCATGGCTGGTGGGTGTCACAGATTCCCATTTAGCCTGGTCCGCCGCTCACCCTGACAGCCCCGGGTCTGTGTGAAGGGCTCTCCGGTTGGGCGCTCTGCTCTGCGTCCACAGATACAGAGCAAAGTAGCTCTTCTGTCCTCTCGGCGCCCACCTACGGGTGACTCAGCGTTTGTCGAGTCTAAATATTGAAAAAGCCAGGAGCAGCCCTTGATTTTCTTTATTTATGGCTGGAAAGGTAATCACGGTGCAATAAAACGCGAGCTCGTGTGGGTATTATTTTTCAAGATGTTCACTTCAGTGCAGTGAAAATTCTTGAAGTTTCCTCCCATAGAGACGACGTGAATGCTCCTGTTGAGCCAGACATGTCAGCGAGGAGGATCTCCAGCAGCCTGTGATGTTGCTGAGCTCTGCAGTTGCTCTTTAATTAAATCATACTCCACCTAATGCGGTGAGCAGATGATGGCTCCCCTTTTAATCAGGTGCTGTTGCACTTGGTCGGCAGCCCAGGAGAAAGGGCTGACGTTTGATATCCTTGGGTGGTTTCTTCCCTGTACACTTCCTGTGGTGTTTATATACACAGATAATTACCAACATTGCCTTGGTCACCGTGGCAACATAAATACATCATTGGACTAGGAGCTCATTTGAGCGCATGCTGGGCATCTGCAGAGCTTCAGGTTGGGTCGGCCCGTGTTTACTGCACACAGACAGAACCGCTGGCTGTTCAGACTGTTGTTGGGGATGACTTTGGTTCCTTCTGTTGTCCTTTAGATCTGCTGGAGAAGTCACGTGTGGTGAAGCAGCCGAGAGGAGAGAGGAACTTCCACGTCTTCTACCAGCTTCTGTCCGGAGCCTCAGACGACACGCTCAGTAAGTGGAGCTGAAAGGACGGATCCAAGTGGACTGGAGGTCCTGTTTTTACTCTCTGTGGGCTCGTTTTAGTCCTTCTCCTCCTATAGAGACAGAATGGCTACGAGAGAAATGTTGATGGTGCTGAATGACAGTTATGACGCCATAAATCAGAAGAAAAAGAAAGACGTTGAATTTCTTTGATTACTTTTTTTTTATTACAAAAATAAAATAAACCAATAATCAACATGTACGACATTATTCAGTCGCAGACAGGTGCTATCAATAGTTAGTAATAGTGAACAAACAGAAACTCTACGTGCTTTAGACATTTCACTCCTTATATATTTTGAAGTTGCTTCCTGATACTTGCTGCTCTGTTTAAACGCAGCCTGCAGTTCAGCCAACAAGTCCCAGAGTCTTGTTGGAGTTTATGGTTTATCTTTTCTAAATGAGACATTTAGAAAAAAGTGATTTTGATTAAATAGCTCGATGTCAAAGTCCCTCTTCGATCATTTGAAAATAATCCCTTCCTACCTGACAGACCATCCAGATGTAGCTACGTCGTCTTTTACAAGCTGCAGATCGACACTGAACAAACATCAACACTTTGGTTTTTGTTCCCATTTTTCATGAGCTGAGCTCAAAGATCTGAGACGTACACAAAAGGTCCATTTCTCTCAAATATTGTTCACAAATTTGTCTAAATCTGTGTTGGTGAGACGCCATCGAACGTGAGCGTTTGCTCGATGACGAGCTGCAGTCAGGTGGAGACCCGATGAGGTCGACGAGCATGTCGATGAGCTACCTGAGACGGTTTCTGACAGTTTGAGCAGAAATTCTTTGGTTATGTAAACCGACTGCTGCAGCAGCTGTCCGGGTGGCTGGTCTCAGACCATCTTGGAGGTGAAGATGCTGGATGCTGGGCTGGTGTGGTCACACGTGGTCGATGTTTGTGAGGCCGGTCGGCTGTACTGTACTCTCTGAAACAGCTTATGGTGGAGAAATGAACGTTCAATTCACGGGCAGCAGCTCTGGTGGACGTTCCTGCAGCCAGTTGCACGCTCCCTGAAAACTAGCGACACCTTTGGCATCGTGCCGTGTGATTAAACTGCACATTTTAGAGAGGCCTTTTGTTGTGACCAGCCTGCAGCACACCTGAGCAATAATCATACGGTCTAATCAGCGTCTTGATACGCCACACCTCTGAGGTGGGTGGATTAGCTCAGCAAAGGAGAAGTGCTCACCAGCACAGGATTAGACAAACGTTCGACAGAAATGGACCTTTTGTTTAAATAGAGAAAGTCTCAGATCTTTGAGTTCAGCTCATGAAAAATGGAGCAAAAACAAAGCGTTGATGTTTTCATTCAGTGACTGATGTGCACACCTTTCCCCTCTCACAGCACAGCTCACCTACAGCTCTGCTCCAACACGGTGAAACCAACAGGTGCACGTTGTAATGTTGGAGTGTTCAGCTTTACTAGTTTGAGCCAGAAGCTGATTCTGTAGAAGGACAGTGATATGGAAAGCACCGCCCGGCAAGGTCCAGGACTGGCTTCCTAGACGGGTTGAAACCTGGAAGTCTGAGTCCATGTTTCTGACTCTGATTCTCCACCTGGAAGCCTGTTGGCTGCTTGTTTAGCTTATGATGTGTCTTCTCACCTATAAAAACAAAAAAGCACCACACGGACACGTTAACAAGGTAAAGAAAGAAGTTGTTTTCATCCGGAGGGGTCCTTTAACTCTAATGTGGAGGCACCAGTGTGCCATTCCTTATGTTAAATCTCATATAAAGCCTTTTCCAGCAGCACCGCAGCTGCCCCAACACATGGCTGATACATTAATGACTCAATCTTCCTGCCTAACAAACACGACGGAGAACAAAGACTGGCAATGAAACCTGTTCCCTCTATTTGCTTTTCTGTGGACAGAGGGCATTGTTTTATGTCCCGCACACAGGAGAACAATATAATGGTCATTGACTCTCCAGCGCCCAGATCACAGGGGCCTGGTTCAGCTGTAGTTAATGCAGCCGCTAACGAAACCCGACACATGCACCCACAAGAGGAACAGATTTGTTTGCTGCTTGATAGAGGAGAGGG